TGATTCTTATTCTTATCCCCGATAGTGCAATGTATAATAGTTACGCCATTATATGCGTAGTATGAATCATAGTAAAATGTACATAATAACCTTGGTTCAGTAATGAATCGGAAAATTGCATGTATACATTGTTATTTTAGTAGTAGCAGTATCACTTTTATTATCATATTTAACAACATATCCACCACCATCAGTATCGTCACTGGTTTCATTATTAGTAACAGTATTGTTGTTTATCTAGTTTTTTATGATATCATTATCGGCAACATTAATTTTATTATCATTAGCACTCGTTATTACCAGTCATTCTTATTATAGCATACTGCATAGCATGCCACGTGGTCCCCATACAGCGTGATCCAGTATACTATATCGGCCGAACGATATAGCATACTGCATAATATGCCACGTGGTCTGTATCCATACCGTGTGTTCCACTAGGCTTAGCATGCCACAAGGTCCGCCCATGCTGCGTGGCCCGAGGGACACGCAGCCCACTCGCGCTCGCTTGCGCCGCTGGTCAGAGTATAAGGGTGGCCAGCCTTGACCTCACCCTCACACACTCAGATCTTCGGCGAGCTTGCCCGTGACCGGCCGGCCGTAGCGCCTCGCCTCTCCGGCGGGTCGGCCAGGCTGGCACCGCCCTGGCCGCCGGCAGATCGTCGTCGTCTCATATCGCGTTACCAGTAAAAGTGTGCAGCCACATCAGTGTATCGCTTTGCCACCAGTCATTCAAACAACCCACATAGAAGGCCTGTAGCACCTTTTATGCTTGTCCTACTGTCGTTTCTTTTATCATCATTATGATTATTATCATATTCATCATCAATATTGTGACACATTACAAGTATATTTTATTATCTTTAGCTGGTATCGTTATCATAGTTATTAGCATTTCTGTCCGTATATTGTTATTATTTTCACTATTTTTGTTGTCTTGGTGTTGTTGTTATGTTACAATCGATATCGTTGTTGTTTTTATTATAATCATTATTACTATTGTTATGATTATGACTGTGATGATGATAATTATCGTTGTTATCATTATTGTCATTATCACTATCGTTATTATTAATGCATTTCATCGTTGTTACTATTCATTATTATTATTATTATTATTATTGTTATTATTATTATTATCAGTATTATTATTGTTATTATTATTATTGTTGTTGTTGTTATTATTATCATTATCATTATTATTATTATTGTTACTATTTTTGTTACTGCTACTACTAATATAATCACTATTAGTGGTAGTTGTAGTAGTAGTATCATTATTATTATAAGTAATGACCATAACAATATTAGTAATACTGATATTGATCATGAATAGGGTCACATTACTTCTTATAACTGTAAGAGTAATAATATTGATAAAGATAGAAAATTTGATACGTTACGATGATCATAAGAACAATAACAAAACAGCAATAACAAGAATAAGTAATAATAGTGAGGATGATTTTTACAACAATGAAAATGGTAAGTGAAAGTAATTATAATGATAAGGATAATAAGAATATTGGTGATAATAATAATGGCAATAGCAACAACAGTTACGCAAATAAGAATAATGATGGTATTGATTATAATGATAATAATAATGATAATGATCATAATAATAACAACAGTGGTAATCATAGTAACAATGATGGCAGCAATCATAATCATGATGATAATAATATAGTAATAAGAATGCTAATATGATCAGCAACACCACTAACAACAAATACAATGATAATGATGTTAATAATGAATAATAATAGTGATGATAATGATTATGATAGTAGTAATAATCACAATAACAATAGTAATAAAATAATAATGATAATAATGACAATAGTAATGATAATAATGATGATGTTAATGATAACAGTTACAATAATAATAATAGTAATAATAACCAACAACAACAATAATAATGATAATTATCAAAAATATCATTATCAATATCATAATTAGAAATTCTTATCTTTACTACCATCATTACCATCATTATCATTGTTATTATTATTATTATTATTATTATTATTATTATTATTATTATTGTTGTTGTTGTTGTTCTTGTTACTGTTAGCATCATTAATATTATGATGATAATGATAACAATAACAATAATAATTACAATAATGATCATAGCAAAGATGATAATAACAGGAATAAAAATAATAATGGGTATAATAATATAATCAATAATAATAGACTCTACAATAATAATGATAGTAGTAGTAGTAGTAGTAGTAGTAGTAGTAACAATGATAATCGTAATGATAATTATGATAATGATACTAATCATGATAATAATGACTAATGATAATTATGATGATGATGATAACAATGATAACAATAATGATAATTATGATAAGGATAATATAATAATAACGCTTATGATGATAATAATGATAATAACAACAAAAATGTGATGATATTAATGATAATGACGATGAGGTTGATGTTGATAATAGTGATACTGATAATGATTAAAATAGATAAGGAC